GTTGCCAACTAAGAGATCGTTTGGCTGGGATGGAATTTCCACAGAAGTGTTGAAAAAAATTTCTGCTTATATTGTAGCTCCACTAACACACCTTGTTAATTGTTCCTTCTGTGAAGGAGTATTTCCAGACTTAATGAAGGTATCAGAAATAAGGCCTCTGTTTAAAAAAGGTAGTAATACAGATGCAGCTAATTATAGACCAATCGCCCTTACGTCGAGTATCTCAAAAGTTTTTGAAAAAGCGTTTTTAATTCAGCTGGAGAAATATTATGAAGGGAATAACTTTTTGCCTGACCAGCAGCATGGCTTTAGGAAAAAGCGTTCTACGGTCACTGCGCTTTATGATATGGTGATAAATGTGTACGACTCATTAGACAAAAGAGAAAAGATTAATGTTATTTTGTATGATTTTACAAACGCGTTTGGATCATTAGTACCTGATAGATTGTTGAACAAACTAAAAATGTTTGGTGTCAATGGTAAAGCGTTAGACTGGGTCAAATCGTTTTTACTAGAGCGAAAGCAGCTAGTTAAACTGAGAGTTCTGAATGATAAGGGTGTAGAAGAAATAATTAAATCAAAGTTGCGTGAGAGTAACAGAGGTGTGCCGCAAGGTACATCTCTCGGTCCCTTTACTTACAGCGCATATTCGATTGACCTGCCCTTGATTGTTATAATTGCAATATTAGTTATATTTGCCGATGACTCTACAATGATAGTGAAAGGTAAAACTGCCTCTGAGGTGAATGAAAAGACAATACAAGCAAACTCTGACATGGTGAAATATGCGAGTGATAATCACCTGAAATTGAATCCGAATAAGACTATGGTAATGACAATGCACACCGCTCAAACGAGGAATATAATCCAGCCTGAAATATTGATTGAGAATGAGGAATTGTCTGTGGTGAACAGTAGTCGCCTTCTAGGAGTAACGTTAACAGATACAATGAATTGGAATAAACAGTGCAGCGAAGTGGTTACTAAGTTGCGTAGTGTTACGTATTTATTTATCATGTTACGAGAAAAAGTTCTAGAATCGACTTTGGTCCAAGCCTATCATGCATATGCGGCTAGCCGAATTCTATACTCGATTGTAATCTGGGGTGGATCTACACATATGAAAGATGTTTTTCTTGCGCAGAAAAGAGTAATAAGAGCGATGGCTGGCGTTCAATATTGGAGAAGTAATTCGGCACTTGACTCATGTAGACCACTATTTGTGAAATTTGGAGTTCTTACAGTCTATTCATTATATATTTTGGAGTGTGTTAAGTTTGTGCGCAAATTTCCTGAAAAGTTTAAAATGAATCGTGATGTTCCAGGTGTTGTAGTGCGAACTACGCGTGCTACTGCATATGTTGAAACAGATTTATTTGTAAGGCCAAGCTCACTAAATTGTGTGAATGAAAGTCCTGAGATAATGATAGCACGAGTATATAACAAATTACCCAATGTATTGAAAGAAATAGCTGACTATGGCAACTTTGTTAAAAGTGTCAAATATGTAATGCTGAAGTGTCAATTCTATGATATGAATGAATATTGGAGATGTAAATTTGAATGATTAAACTTGGAAGATTGAGACTCAGCTGCAGGGTTTTCGGGGGTGGTTTTCCCCTGCAGTATTTGAGGAGGGTTAGTCAAAGGCTTGCCCACCCCCGCCGAATAACTAATGGCGTGCGAGCTCCCTCATTCACTTGATGTTGTATTTAGTTGATTGATAAAACCTAATTATTATTATTATAATGACCTGTTGTAAAGGCAAATTGGAGATGTACTATATATGTCTAATGCAATAAATTTTGATCTAATCTAATCTAATCTAATAATAATAATAATAATAATAATTTCTCCGTAACAATTATGAAGACAATTGACAATTAGCCGTAAAATGAATTTTTTAGAAAATTTAGTATAAATCTGCAAGAAATATCATTTTAAATCAATTCAACATGGATTTTCAGGAATTGCAATAAGAAACAAAAATTATTTCAGTGTCCTCAGACATTTTTTCCCAAAGGCTTCATATTATGCTGTCAAAATAATTAAAGATATAGAAACACAAAAGCAACTTGTTCGTGCAATGGCCAGTGAGCGTTGCTGGCCTGGTCCAACGCCTGGTTGTTCAGTGAGGCCCCTTTTTAATAAATTTAATGTAAATCATTGCTTTCGATTATTTTAGAAGAAGCGTGCAAATTTGTGTGGAAACACCCTAAGTATTTAGTAAAGACGTGAGATGTGCACGCTTATGAGACGCGTGAGAAATTTTATATACAAAATTGCTTGTCAAGCTTATAATTATTTTCCAGTGTCTATTAGAGCGAATTCGAGATAATAATTTTCTCCGATAAATATACAAATTAAAATATTGGCGCTATTTTTATATCATATTATATTGTTGTTTATTCTACTCTAGTCATACATGAAAAAATTGAATTGGAAAAAATGAGCGGAAAGGGTATCACAACTAGCAGAGGTCTGCTAAAACGCCTGGCATCAAAAAGAGATCGGCCACCGCGTGAACCCACACTATCGAAGAAAAAAAGACAATCGCGACACTTAAAATTGCTGCCACAAATGCTACCTGCAAAGGGATGAAAAAATTGCTTGTTGGGCGGATTTATGTGTATGTCTTAATTGCACAAGTAATTGCGATTCGTGCTGAGCCAATAGTTATTTTGTGCGATTGCTTAAACATTTTGTGTCCATGCATAAATTTTATTCGGAAACTATTATTAGTATTAATATTCATACGTCAATAAAGATCAATAATAATAATAATTCACTTGAGACCAATAATTTTACTTAAATTTAAATTAATTAAATTAATTCAATTTAATTACAAAAAGAATGTAAAAATTAAAATTAAAAAAAAAAAATTAACTTCAAACACAAACAAAACATCTTCCCAATTTAAATTGTATAATTCAAGTTTCAACCCAAAGAAAGAATTCAAATAAAATAATTTCTTCAATTATTTTATTAAAAGTAATTAATGAAATTAAATTCAATTGAAATCAAACCAAGCTAGACGTGAAACAGAACTTTGTAAAATCTATAAGGCACTTCCCTCCTCAGGCAACGAGCTATAATATAAAACATTGGTTTGGAACTATTTCGGAATAAAAATGAGCTAAATATTCATGAAGGCATTTTTTTCTTTGGACAATACAAAAGATATTTTCATTTATATTATTTTCTTCCTCGGCCAATCACGCTTGCACGCATATAGATTATTCATCACGCGAAATGATGCAGCTCATTGTTTTGCGCATAATGAAAATCGCCATGTCTGTTTTATGCATATGAATGTCGCGCAGAACGGCCATACTGCACACAATTGTAAAAATTTTATGTGCGCGCCGCGAAAAAAACAAACACGACGCAGACAATGCAACGGTGATGGCAATCTCTCGCAGTTGTGCGTTCGTGCACGCTGCTGTGCTGTGGATGACAAAGAGCAGGAGAGACACACCGCATCATGGGCGTGTCACGCTCGCAATTTTGTGTACAAAAAAAGGGTTAATTGGCCGCGGCACGGAAATTTGCTCGTAGAATTTATAAATTTTTTGCATCAAGAAGTTTTTTATCCAGGGATTTAAAATAAAAAATGAAATTTTGGGCAAATTTTTTTTTACCTATAACAGAGTTATTAAAACCTCGTCTGTATTCAAAAATGCGTTTGAAATTGGCACACTGTGTCATGGAACTTTTGAAATAACAAATATTAGTAAAGAAAGTATGAAATCGATTTTTCAATCTCTTTAAAACTGAAAATTGGAGTTCATTTCTTAAGTGGTTTGTTTTTCTTTTCACTTCGAGTTAAAACTGAAGATCAAAAGACATTAACCCAGAAACTGACACAAGTGCTAAGTGAAAACAACGTTTTCTCTAAATTTATAAGTTAGACGTGACATGTTCTATAGACTACTGTTAATATGTTTTTTGTCCAACAGAATAACAATAAAATTCAATCAAAATTTTCCATAAAAAAGTGCAAAAAAATTATCTTACACACGTTTTTTTGTCCTGTAAAAACAAAATAATTTCTGTTTTGAAACACTTCTTATTTTAGTTAAGTGCCAAAAATTGATCTGATTTAATTTTATAATTTATATTGACCGAGAAGAATAAATAATAATAATAATATATATGCTCTCAAAATCAAAGATAGATAGAGTATTTATTGAACACACAACTAGGTGTACAACGGCGGGTGTCTAAAGCTTATTTGTCTTCCTAAAATTAGTTTTTACATAATTAGGCATGTTTCGATAATTTTTTACAAATTACAAAATTAGTTTAATTTGATTTTTGCAGCCTCTCTTAGGCTTAGTTTTCAAAATCTTAGGCTTAGTTCTCAAAATCAAAGGACAGACAATTTAAACGCGGCGCAGGCGTGTTTTCATTTCCCAGCATGTTTTCAACGCCCACGGGCGTACATAATACTGTAAAAGGCGCAATCACCCTCAGCAGTGTACTACAGGTGAAAAACGAGTGATTTTTATTGTCAAATCAAAGTCACTGCTCCAATAAAACCGCACTCCACCACTATCAGAGATCTCCTTAAATTGCCGCAACGGGTGTATTATTTACGTCCAATTGAATGCGCGCGGCGAAGCTTTTAAATCGTTTTTGAGAGCACCAGCAGCAGCCACTCCCGGTGCAAAATTATGTGACTATTATTATTATAAATACTTTTTAACTCCACGAGCTCTTGCGTTCTTTCTGTACTTTTTATGTATAGTTTTTAGCTCTGTATTTATGACTGTACATATATCGAATGTAGAATAAATAAATAAATAAATACTGTGGATTCTTATGTATGTGCGCAATGTTTTATGCACTTTACTTCTTGTCAATTACCTAAAATATCGCTCGGACCGGCCGGCTAGCTAGACATGATATGTATTCGGATATTCGGAGCAGATTTGGAGGGTTCCAAGTTAGAACGAGGGACTAAAAAGGATGAGTGTCACGCGAGAGTTGATGCTTACCTGGCAAACCGCTCTTTGTCCTGAATGCTTTCTTCCTCCATTCGAGTGTATTTGCTTCCACTAGCGTCTTCTTCATCTGACCTGTGAACAAAATTGAGAAGTTGTAAATTTCAAATTAAATTAATTTTTGCTAATTCCAGTTATGATTCAAATCTAGAGACCTAAAAATTAAAATTTAACCTCTATAGAAATGCAAATTGAATTCGCTGGAAATAGTAAATGCTATCAAATGGAAAATCTTATTCATACTCAACTGGAGGAAAATAATTAAGTTTTCCAATCGTGATCTTAATAGAAGTAAAATTTCCCAATTGAATTTCCATTTGAAAATTTTTTTAATAATAATACTTAAATTAGACTTTTGAATCCACATATTTTCAGATAAGTCGAACATTAGTCACAAGTTTGTAAATTAAAATCAAAGGATGTAGTTTCTATTCTAAATGATATTACATATGGGGTGGGGCTTGGATTTTGACTGAGGATAAATTTTAAATTATTGATCAAGAGAAACATCCAACTTTGCGAATTATTATTATTGCCATTATTTATTTATTTATTTATTTATTTATTGGCGTGGTACAATACTCTGAACATATATTGGCGATTCGGTCGAATACAAGACGAATACGTATTACAATATTATGCAGTTGATAAACACTTCATCTTGGAAGTTTGTTAAAATTGTTTAAAAATTTCAATAACGTTTGACCTATTCAATATCAATACTTTTGATTTAATATGAATAGTGAAATTGAAAATAATCAGAGTTTTAAGTGAAGCTTTGAGGAAAAGTAAAATGTGCAAAAAAAAACGAGCGGGCAGCCTCAGCCTTGAGTCTGCAATGCGAAGCGTGCACAGAGCGCAATTGCACCGACGAGAGGCGGCCCCGCTTAAACGTACCAAGAGAGAACAAACGCCGAGGTACATACAAAAGACAACTAGAGAGGCGAAGGTTCGATCATGAACAATTTATTGCACGAGTCGAGATTAATCGAATTAATTAAAGAGCGAGAGAGGTATGCCTGCTGGAATCCGCCGCCGAGCAAATTATTTCCCACACTCCGCGCAGGTCTTTATTTGTTTGCTTTTCTCTATGAATAAAAAAAAGATGCCAGCAATTGTCAAACGGAGAGGAGAGAAAAGAGTCGTCTCTTTCCGAGAAAACGCCGCGGCTTGTGTTTGCGCTGAAAAGTGAAGAAGCAGCTCTCTGTGCGCCTTGTGATCAGCAAGCCTTTTCTTTCTCTCTGCATCTGCTGCTGCTGTTCCAGATTATAATCACCACATTTAAGAGCCGAGTCGACAGTGCAAGTGCATACAAAATGCTCTGTCAGTGCCGCTGTAATGATACAATTCCCACAGCTTGTTTTTGTTACAAATGCCTCAGGGGCGTTTTGCAGCTTGCTAAAAATAGATTCAAAGGGAGACTGTGGAAAAAAGAAATGGTAAAATTAAATGACATTTTTGTACTAAAGAGGGAACAAGAATAATGAAAACTTTGAACGGAATAAATTGAGTTTCTGTTAAATATGAAGCAGAGAATAATCTCAAACTGAAGCACGATTTTTTTATTATGTCTTACAAAAAAATCTAGTTTTTAAATACATTTTTCAATATCGATCAGATTCCATTTCAGAATAATTTTTATTTTATTAAATGATCAACACATTGACTTTTGAAACATGTCATTCACAAAGATATTTTAAGAAAATATTCAAAGTGTGGGTTTACCGCGGCGGCCGACTCTCTTTTGATAGCAGGCGTTTTAGCAGACATCTGCTAGTTGTAAACCCTTTCTTCTCATTTCCAAATTTCAATTTTTTTTATCCACCGAGAAAATTTATTATTTTTTTTTATAAAAAAAAAATTTTTACGACGAGCTTAGGACAAGCCCGACGCCCGACTTCTTCATTTCCACCACCGTGAAAAGTTATTATCTGGAGTGAAAAAGAGTCTTGACACAGTTTCAATGAAAAAGATGGGTTATTCCTGGCTGATTTGTCGTGAAAAACAATAATTCAAAGAGGATTAGTCCACTTTAAAACTTCAATTTTTAAACCAAAAAGAATGAGAATACAGAATGAGTGCGAAAACTGTAGCACGATTTTATTTTGTAATTTACCTCCATAATCTCGTTTTCACATAAATTTGATCTAGATTTTGATGAAAAAATTGTTAAGTGCTTTATTAGCAAATTAAAAGCTGTGACGAAACCTTTTTGGCTCTTTTTTCCATTTCAAATTTATATCTGTATCGACTTTAAATAAATAAATATAGACATGAGTAAAATAAAAAACAATAAACATACTAAATAATTTTAATTGTTTGCACCATCAGTGGCCGCTCGAGGAAGTGCCGAGTTTACCCCGACAGCTAGCGAAAAGCCATTTCTCCATTCTTTCCCACATTCTTTTTTATGTGTATGTAATCATTATTCTAATGTATTTCCAGCATTATAAATTTCCGACTCCTGTATTTTCGGCATTTTTTTGTATGCTTGTACTTTTTCATGTCGATGCATGATTCCGCTTTTTTTGTACAGTGTACTTTTTTTTGCATTGTATGAATGGAGAATAAATAAATAAATAATAATAAAAACACACACACTCGGTTTCAGCTGTTCACAAAATTGGCATTTGAAAAATTAGAATAATAAAATATGAATATTTACTCTGCATCAAGAACAACCAGTAAAAGGTAATTTTGAAACAGTGGAACTAAAACGCTCTCTCTTGGTAATTTACGATCCTTCGCAAGAATGCGCCCGCTGCTGTTTGTTGTAATTCCAGCCTCTCATCTTTTTTTGCGCGCTTAAGTCTGGTTCAGATGCATTACTTTCAAATGGTTCATTAAAAGTGGTCTGAGGAGGATGTACTTCTCTTCTTTTTATATCGATTCGCAGGTGCTGCAGCGCTATTTTCAATATTTTATTTTTTCGACACCGCCGCGACTGCAGGATTCTTTTCCCTCGTGTCGTTGGGCAGACGTTAAAACGGTCGTAAAATAATGATGCTTGTTTACACTTTCGGAAAGTTGGTCTCAGGACGTAAAATTTGACTGCCGCGGCTTTCAACAATCACTGATGAGGAGTAAACAGAATTATTCGCAAAAAAGCGAAAATTTGAAATTGGGAAGAAGTTCAAACGATAAATTATTATTTTTGTCTTTATATTTTCAGTGCTTATGCTTTCCTGATGTTACTGGAAGTCAACACCGACCCCACACATTGGATATTCCAATTGAAGTTGAAAGTAAAAATTGAAATGATTATTATTATTATTTATATTTATTGACTTGAGGCGTCACCACGATATAATTCTTTTTGATATTAATTTTTTTTATCGATAGCTTGATTGAAAATGATTCGATGAATTAATAATTTTAATAAATTAAATCTTACTAACTTAAGCAGTTTTGTAGGAAAGTTTGGACCATTTTTTAAACAACATAATTAGGAATTCGAATTCAGTCTTATCGCCAAATTTCTAATGGTGCGCGAGCAACCTCAATCACTAACTTTAATGAGATAGTGATATTTTGACAAAATAATTTTTTACCTAGAAATAATGAATTGTTGTAAATACAAATGGGAGATACAAATAAATGTCTTATGCAATAAGCTTTTATCTAATCTAATCTATTTTATCTAATTTAATCTAAACAATGAAATCAGAAGCCAAATTTTTATTTCACTCTTGTCAATTTTGTTAGCAATCAGAAAGTTATAAAAATTAAATATGGGTATGTATAACATCACGAGCAACGACACCTTTTAACTTTTCAGGCCGCTGACCTGGCGATCAGTGCTCTCTCGTGACCTTAGGATTGGAGGTCCATCAGTTGATAAAAGCGGTGCGCGGCTCGTGGAGCGGAACAATTCGCTCCGCCCTCGCTAACAAAGAGGCCAACAATGCAAAAGCACCCAAAACAGATCACAGATCAGAGCGAGCGAAGTGAGGTTGGACAAGAGACTTATTCCTTTCTCGCACATTATTGCCAAAAAAAGTAGCGGTACCGGAGAGTTATATTGTTAATTTGAAGATGATCCAGCACATGAAAGAGCGTGACCGCGTTTCGTTCCACATGTTTTTCCATTTGAAAAGTTTACACGTGGGAGCCATGAGGTCAGTTTTAAACTTTAAACAATTGGCATCAACACTTCAAATGGACAGTTTGCAGATACAAGTTACAATTAATACATTTGTTTTTTATTTACGCTACTAATTGTAAGAGAAATTAAGATAACAAAGCAAAGCATAATAACTGACTTTGAACGTGACTTCACCCGATTTCAGGATTTTCCAGCAGCACTTGAATGTAATTTTCCAACTGCACATTGAGTAAATTTTTACATTAAATAACTTGTATTTTGTTTGCAGATCGCAGGTCGTCTTTTAGATCAGTTTTGTAAATGCTTTTATTTTTTTACAACGACAAGTCCGGTTGTACTTAACTTTTTAAAAAAGCGTTTTGAATATAATAAAAAATATTTTTTTTTTTATTTAATTTTAAATTTTATCCACTATTTTCATAAGGATAATTTTTCCCAGCTGCATGTGAAAATCGTTCGAGCAAAAAATATTGCTCTTCACCGCAAATTTGACGAGTAGGAATTTTGAAATGTGTATAATTTGGCTCGAGTATCTCAAATTCAGAACTAGGCGTATCAAATCTGGATAGCGCAGTTGGCGGATCCTCAGAGCGCGCGTGTTTGTTTCACCCGCGCTTGAAAGGTGTAATTTTAATGTAATTCCGCATTAAAAACCCTTCAACTTAACACCTCTTTTCGCACAATGACGCTGAGGTTAAATCCTAACCGCGTGCACGGCGAGCAGGATCGTATCACGAAAAAATTATATTTTAAAATAAATTGCCCGCACTCATATGCCGAGAGATGAAAGAAAGCGAGACGTCATTCGCTGTCAGTTTTTAAATTAAAAAGGCGAATCATTTGCATCTCTCGTGTTTTTTGACCAAGCGGCTTGGAGACCTAAATTAAAGGGCGCTTAAGTGAAGTTTCGTCTTGTGATGCCAGTCAACGTAAATTTACTTCCAAGCTTCACATCTTCACAACTGTAAAA